TTTCATAACACCCACATCAATTTTAATGCGGATTCCAGTTGATTTACATGCATGCCGCCAACTCCCTATGTACCAACCTACCTCATATATAAGTCTTATGCTTACTATACAAGTTTTATGTGTTTTCATATGCAACCTTCAACTTTTTATGCTGAGAAATATTTGGATGCTATAGATGTGAAATTCAGGTGTTAAAAATTGCAAAATTGTATGAAGAATTGGGTGGTATGATTGTAAAAAGGGGTGGTGAAATTATTGGTGAGTTTATCATTGTGTTAGAAACCTAAAATTTACATGGGTTGGCTTAGTTGAATTTGAAAGTTATGTGGGTTGGCTTTGTGCAAACCTGAAATTTATGCAAACTTAAAACTTGATTAGCATCACCATTACATTTACTATGATGGGGAATTTGCATGCTTACTACCCAATTCTTATATATTTACATTTATAACACCTAAACTTTCGTCTTTTACGTTCATACCACTCAATTTCTATGGGTTTTTCTATATACGTACCACATAATTCTTTTGTATTTGCATATCTAACACTTAAAATATTTGTCTTTGAGGGTGAAGCATTGAGCATTTAATTATCAATAAATGGTTCACTTGACAATGCAAAAGTAAACCCTAAACTTTGAATTCATTAAGATAGATACATCTGAGGGTTCTCTTAAGTGACTTCAGTCATTTGAGAGGTAATTAACTACAAGAGACTATCTCTATAGGGAGTTTTAAGAACTCAGATAATATAAATCCTATTTATTTTTTAATACTAGGTAGGGGAACTTCTCGATCAAATAAAAGATTCGCAGATCAAAACGGATATCATGAATTCAATAGTTTATTTAATCAAATCTCGTCACCAAGTAATGTGTATATTCCTCGGGATGGGTGTGTTACCTGTGTTGTGCTCGTTTACTTAAACTATTAAATGAATGAAATTCATCCAGTCTCATTTTTCAAAAGTTAAAATATTAATTTCAAAAAATCAATACATATATCTATATATATTAAATTAAATCAAAACTACATTTTATATTTTTCAAAGGAATTTTTAACGACTGACGATAACAAGCCCTAATTATTTAAAATTTATGAATAAGGTTGTGAAACTAGATTCACAAGTTGGGTTTAGGTCTAGCCAGATATTGACCTGACCAAAACTACTGGAGCAAAACTCAACCAAAATAATAAATAGGCCAAAAAAGTCTAACATGAACTCGACCCGTCTTCAACCTGGCTAACCCAAATATGGTCCACATAACCCGTTTAACATGGGCATAATTATTTGAGTCAAATTAGGGTTGACTGGTCAACATAAACATGACCAACCTAAAAATTTAATGGATTAGGATTCTTAACTCATACCCAACACAAAAATTAGTATAACGAACTTAAACCCATATATTTTGAGATGGGTTGGCATGTGGTTCTATTTTTAGCACCCATATTCATGATTAAGGCAAAGCCTATCAATTAGAATATTTTTTTAGTGCATATGCAGGAAAAAATGAAAAATATCAATATAAGATCCGAACCTTTCATTTCCCTCCTCATGCAATCAACCCAATTTTCCTTTGTTGTGACGCCCCACCTAGTCATGTAAGTCATGCGATCTTCCTCCCTTTTGCTTTTCCTCGCTGTCATCTTCTAGACAAGCTTCTAGCATTCGATTTCCACCCTTGTCACCGACATATAGAGCCACCTCCTTTCTTTATTAAGAGTATTGAGGGCTAGGACATCCAACGACTTGTAACTCTCTCTCGCTACAGCCACCAAAGCGTTCTCTTTCACCTGTACTCCCTATAAACTTTCTACACAACTGTAGCCAAGTCATACTCTATTTCTTCTTTTTTATCTTTACTTTTCTTTCTCTTTTTAATATAGTTTTATTCATATATCACATATATTGTTTTATCTAGTTCACGTTCATTATAAATTAGATTAGAGATAATTTTGATCAAATCTAATTTATTGAACTTCGACAAATTGCACTTCTTGTGAGGCAATAAACATTCGACGTCGATTTCTTCGTGCCTGATCAGTTGGTTACAGCTTCAACTAATATACAATTTTAATATCTTCCCACTTTTTTATCAATATGTTTATGCACACTATATTGCACACATGAGTATGACATGATTGTAGATTTTACATCTGTGTCTAGTACTCGTTGAGGCAAGCATAAAAGTTCACATGCATATGCATGTGAGCGTTTTGGAGGCCACAACATGCGAGGAATCACCCATGAACGGGTAGATGACTTCCCACGTAATATTCATGCTTGTTTGATATATGTTGTGTTGACCAAACCAAATAACCACTAGGAGGCTGGTGGACTACACCTAAGTCCACTAGTGGGCTGAATCAACTCAACCAGGTCTAGTTTTCATGACAAATTGCATGTCACAAATACTAACTGATGCTTGTCATGCAAACTAATTGCATGTTACACACAACATTAGTTGATGCATGTACCACACATTAGCATTGCATGATTCATAGCGTTCTAGGGCTCCTAGAAGGTATTTTGGAAGCGGATTTAGCTAGGAAGTGGTTATGGAATAATGGGGGATAACATATAGGATTTTAACAAGATTTGGGTGGGGATAGGCCTCAATTGGCGGCTAACCCGGCTGAAATCAGCGAAAAAAACCCCGAACCAGCGATGTTAGGGCAGTGAGGAGCATCCACGACCTATTCCTAGGCAAGATATAAACACACCACTTACAACAGGAATATGATACAACGCTCCATAGGTATAAACCAGATATTACAATCTCCAAACTCTCAAAACAACTCGAAAGCCTTCTCAAAACACAGAAGTAAACATATAAATAGTTCTCTCATAGACAAAAAAATCCAATTAAAAAGTAGAATAATAGGATATAAATCAAGAAAGAAAGAAAGAAATGTCGAAATAGGAAGGTTGGCTATCAATCCAGATGACTCAGGATGCACGATCCCACTATTGCGGAACCATGAAGAGTTCGTGGATCGCGACAAATCTACAAAAATAGGGCTCGTGAGATCTCAACGCTTCCTCATCAATGACATACATTTTAGAATTGCATGCAACACATATACCATGTTTCGGGTTCTACGTAAGATCCACCACAATTTAATGTTGTACACATAGAAATTAAACGTAAAATTAATATCATATTTAAACAACACCTATAATATGAAAACATACACTATATTATTTTTCTAATTGAATAATTAAATAAATAGTCAATTCACACGTGTAGTTGATGTTGATCACATCATACTAGTTTAGATTAACAGCATATCATCTAAAAGTGCCTCTCCCACTACTAAATGCAAACTAGACAGCATACAACATTGCAGTGGTCAAAGTAGATTTGATCTACACTACAGTCAATTGGCCATTTGGGCCACACCCATGTCAGCTTAGCTAGAAGATTCTAGCAAACCATGAATGCATCTATCAAAGAAATTGAGGCCATTCAGTTATTTAGAAACATCTTTAGTATTTAGGCATGCCATATCTATTAAGTAGCTAACATTTACATCTGGATGGGCCAAATATATCCAAGTGCTTCCACATGTTTAGAAACATATAAAATCTAATGTGCTATTTCTAAGCAAGTTAAATCTACTTGCAAAATCACAAAATCCTATTGTGTTATAAATAAGCCAAATCTATTTGAATAATTGGCACTATTTATATATGCCAAATTTGCCAATGCAAACCTTCACCAAGTCAAATGTAGTTAGATAATTTCTCTCGTGTCCTAAATAGGCTAAATTTGATTTGGCATTTCCCTCTTACCAAGATGGGCAAACTTTTATGTATGTCCAATGATTCTATGGGCCATATGTGGCCTAGAACGCTAGGATGTGTGAGAAATGCTAGGGTATATTTGGTAAAACCCTAAAAATTACAACATATTTTTTGGGTTTGCCTCATGATAAGTTCTCCACTCATGTTTTCATTATATATAAGATTGAATCTTAAGAATTTATCAAGGATTGGGATTTGCAACTTAACCCACTTATAAGAGATACAAGTGATACACAAAGATATAGAAACTCCACCACTAATGTGAAGATTACCCTCTCATTGGGAGTACAGCTCATCAAAGTGAATGAAAACTAATGCAAGAAAACAACTTGAACATTCAAGATGGACTGCGGTAGACCACACTACAAAGGTCATAATATCCTATAAATTATAGTTTGTAACTTATGAATTTTTATTGTAAAATGGAGGAAGGCCATACATGCCTGTAAATGTAGTCTATTAAATGTACAACCTTCATTTTAAAGGCATAATTGCAATCAAAGATTTAGGGAGCTTCACATTATTAGAATAATTTGCAATAGCTTTCAAAATAGGATTCCTTGAAGCCACCACATATATTCTTTGGTGGAAAATTTATGGAGGGTATTTTGGCCAGTTTCCCTCATACTCTACAATATTTCATATATTATTTATTCTTTGGGGACCGTGCTAATATTTTTTAAACACTACTATATCCCTCTCTAAACATATTCTCCCACAATCCCATCATCTTTCCAAGGCCTCAAACCTCAAAACATTTTTGAAAAATGAGTTGTATTCTCCTTAGCAAAACAGTACTACTGTTGTCCGCCTACTGCAACTACGTTGAAAAAAAAATTTAACCACATATCCCCAAATTAGCTAAAAGTATCTCCATTAGTTAGATAAAATCCTAAACTGCAGACCAAGAATTCTAAATAATTTTCTCCTAATACCGACTCCATAAATTTTTAGTCAAAAATAATCAAGAAACCCTAAACAAATCAACCCTTAACCATAACCTTCCACCAACAACCATAAATCTTCCACCACCTTGTGCAAAATTTGATACTTATAACCTTCCATCAAAGAGCATCCATCTAGGTATTCAAGTTCATTTATTAAATGCATCATCAGGTGTCCCATCAAAAACATAACAAATGAAAAAACCCAACTGCAGAAAATTTATAATTTCGGCTCTTATTGCATACCTGGTTTGCATTCCACTTGCATGTGGAGAGTAGATTGCTTGGCTTCACAGATGCAGTGCGCCTTTGGGTTGTTGAGACGTCCAAGCAATATTTTATAGACTTCTGAGACAGTAGTTGAAACAGACCTTCGTATTTCTGGCTGTAAATGAACTCATTGTCCCTATATTATGACATGGACTTATTCAAACCGTAGACAAAACAATGATCGCTTAAAGTAAGGAGTAAAAAATAGCCCTGTACAACAGGTTATACTTGGTTACCAATTAAGTGATTTCCAAAGGGGCCTCCTTTTATGCAAGCAACTTGACACAGTGGCTGTGTCTTTTGTGTTGTAATTCCAGCAGATCTGGTTTACCCTGTTTTGCATTATAAGTGACCAACCTTTTGCCTTTTCACTATTACATCTGGTTAAACCAAGAACGTATTTTGCAGGTTCATTGATGATCAGCAATTGTTTCACAGAGCTCTTGCTAGCAGCATGGTATACTTGACTTGTACTTTCATCTGTGAAAATATAAGGAAACTAGAGAAACTAACCAAGTCAGGTGACATTTTGAAAACCTAGAAATGTTGATTATGAATTCAATCCCAGGTTCTTCAAAGTTATTAAATGTAAAAATTCAAGACCTCCATATTATTCTGACTGTAAGAATCAATCTCCAGTAAAGTAGGATTTGTTATAAGATTGAATGTTATGTCGTCAATTTGCCTCAAATCTCCACCAAACATGAGAGGAGATTTAGCCATCGACCAAAGAGTCAACTGCATGATAATTATTTATCACAGCCAGGATAAGGTTTGGAAATTCAGTTATCATGGAAGGAGCCACATGTAAAAACCAATGATATTCACTTGCCAGAGTTTTTTGCTCATCAAGGGTAACTCGACACTTTCTGTGAGGACCCTGCTTAACACCTGTTAAGAAAGAAGGCCTATGATTATTCAAAGTCGTCACTAAGCAACAGGACGGAAAAGTGGATATGAGAGGATTACAAGTTGATACCAATATGTTTTCGCATTTCAATTTGGCACAACTATAGCGTTCAAAGCAGGAACAAAATATTAAAGTTGGAAAAGCACATGAACGTGATAAGGCAGGTGGCTATCAGAGCACACAAATCAAAAATGCCAATCCAAGCAGTCATGCACGCATAAAGGTGAGCACAGAGACACCCGATGATATAAATGCAAGTTTCAATAACAGATATGCCCCTTAACAAAGACAGTAGCATTATGCCCAAAGACATTGGCTGATAACAACCAACGAATAAGTGTTCATGTTTGGATCAGCTATTATTCTGGATTACTCAGTTCTGAAAAACTAATGGACATTAATTCCAGTGGAAATGCTAAAGCCTTTGAGACATGCATTAGGCTTCATCAAGCTTAATAAATACTTCACCTGGATCAGTAAGCCACCCAAGTGGTAGCATGTCCAAGTCTGGCCAAGACTTTCCATGCAAACCATTAGCGCCAATTTGTTTGGCAGCGGCAAAATCCCTGTATATAAAAATAAAAAGAAAAGGCAGATATGACAACGAAGCCTCCTCACGGATGTGACAAAGACAATATATACGTGAATATACTGTTGATGCTTACCTTGCAACATTAAAATGAGCAACAATGTCATTCCAATTATCCCAACTATCACCAGTTATTCTGTACATATCAACGTAATCACTAATGGCCGCTCCCATTGATGGGGTCACGCTTGTACCAGGAGAGAGAGATAATAGGATAGGGCGCCCAAGGCCTTCCAAAATCTATAGAAACAACACATTAAAGATAACACAATTCATGTAAACTAATGAATCTCATTCATTAACAATTTCGGAACATGGCATTATTATACATGTTCAAATCTGTACCTCTGAAACTGTAATTATCTGTTTCTTGTCAAAATCGTCACCAAATACGCAATCAAGCTTTACTAAAAGAAAGAAAAGTAGAAAATAAAATAAGAAACTATAGTATGTTAGAAGTGACAGTTGACAAACTATAATTATGAAAACTGTTTAGCTAACTTATCAAGCTTACAATTTTGGAGCCAGATTGCTTCCAGCACTAATAATACTTATAATACTAATATAAGACTAAGAAAAACTTTCAAATGAATTACTTGGTGTGAATTTCACTAATCTTATATGTAAAGTTTCGTCAGATAGATGGGAAAAAAATCAAATTACAGGCCAAATAACTTAGCAAGTATACCAAGATCAACATCCCAATCAGCATATTGCTGATATAGAGATTTCAAGAAAGCTCTTCCAGCTCCTAAATCTGTATTAACACTCAGAAATCCATTCTTCATCCATCCACAAGGCATATCCCGCAGTCCTATGTCTCCTGCCAGCCATGTTCTACCGTATTCCTTGTAAGGAAGTCCCTGAAATATAAAATTATCAGTCAAATTGCAGCAATACCCCATCATAACATCGAACATTAGTGTCTGCAAAAAAAAGACACCCAACATCATCCAAAGACTTAACATTTAATAGCCAGTGAATAAGCAAAATGTAGAATAACATTAGATCACTTGGTTAATTCAAGTAAATTGAACTTACTACTACTGAAATAGCACTTATTTAAAAACTTTGGTTCTCCTGTACCTCGAAACTTCAAGCTTGGCAATACGTTAGCATAAAAAAGATTTTAGGATTTCCGTTTGTCATTATAAATTTCAAAAATATGCAAAATTTCAAATCATAAATTAATAAGCAACGAAACTATATTTGTGTTTATTTGAGCAATCTGATATGCACCATCAAAGAGAGGAGTTTTAAGCCAGAGGATTATGATGGGACTAGATATGGATGTCAAAATTAAGTTCTATCAAAAATTTTGATAAAGCTACAATACAATCAGATAAAAGGTTCCTCGTGGTTGTCGTTTCATTTAAAAGACACAAAATGTAAGGCCAAAACAAACTAATTTATGATTATAGGTGCATATTTTTTATTAGTAATGCGGTGCATCATATTCTACATGGGGTTATTGGACAACTTACAAGTTTTTTTATGTTTTTGTTGAAGTGTTAATTGTTTGTAGTTGTACAATGAGTTGAAAGTTTCTCCAATGGGTGGTCATTAACTCTCCAATGACATTACACAACAAGGAGAGACATTGAAGAGAAGGAACGAAGAAATAGCGAAGGTAATTTACTCTGGCTAATTATTTAGCTTTTATTTAGAATGACTTTAAGGTTAATATAAGTGGCTGCAAGAGTCAAGGGACGTATATGGAAAAGTCAAAATTGTAATAGAGTGGATACTAGTGCCACCTCACCCTACTTCACTCAACAGGAGCTAGGCACTCCACAACATATAGAATAACTACCTCCTTTGAAAAGGGGAAACACCCCCTATTTTTTCAAAGTTATCCTATATATTGGCAACATAAACAAGGTTTAAAGGGCCTTATTTCAATCTTTTTTGGTGTTGGTTTCATCTCCCCAACCAAAAACCTATAAAAACTCCACCAAACACTAGATCAATCCTTCAAATAATCATCCACCTTCTCCAAGTTTTGCGAGTTCATTAAACAATAGGCTCCCCAAAAAGGTCCTACATATTATTGGCTAAATAGTTTTACCAAGCATAGCCTACTTTAGCCGATCCTATAACCATCCAAATCTCTCAAAACTCAATATTAAAGCTCCAAATATACATTAAAACACATCTAAAACAACCACAAGCCCTTAAACGTATTTAATTCTAAGGCTCCATTGACTACTCTCTTTTCTTCTCACAAGTCTCTACATCCCATATTTCCTCTAGAATCTAAATAGGTTGGCATGGGAGCAAGTCTTTGAAATTTGACTGCAAAAAAGTGCAAAATCATTTATCACAAAGCCAGTAGTGCCAAAAAGCTTCCAAACTACCATCAACAACATAAACTAGTGTAGTCCTGATAATACTACTTTTGACAGTAATATATCATTCAGTTTGGAGAGGGCAGTGAAAGAGAGAACGGTTTATATTATTTTAATAAAATATTCATCAAACTTTTCAAGTCTGATTGGTTGAAAATTTTTTGAAGAAAAAGTACAATATATTCAATGTCCACTTTTTTACTCTATCAATCACATCTAATTTTTTTTCTCAACTCATTATTGTAGATTAATTGGAAAAAAAGAACATTCACCATATCAAAGAAGAGTTATTTTCATATCAATGAGACATTTGATTATCTCATTGTCATTCCATTTACTTCTTACAAATCTTGCAAAGGTCAACCTATTATAATGATAGGTGCAGGGCCCTTAATATTTTTTATATTGTCCCCGATGCATGCAAGTGTCCAATTTTGACATTATAAGATGAATTTTATGATAGCACAACAAACGAGAATGTTACAACTTTTCTATTCTTCTTAGTAGAAAGCTTAATCAATTTTGCACTAAAAAATAACATTACACGCGGTTTCTAAATGAAAGTATTCATCAAGCTTGTGGTATGAAAGAACACTTCAGATAGAATTTAAGAGAAGAACATGACAACAAGAGGAGAAATAATACCGTGGCAACATCCAAGATTTTTGTGTTGGCATTAACTGCTTCTAGACTTATTCCTCTCATTAGATGAATCCCAAACTTTAAACCCATGTCATGCACCTTTTGGGCAACTTCCTTAAACCCTTTTCCATTCCTAGATGATGGCCACCTTTCAGGATCAGGAACTAATCGTCCCCACTCATCAATGTTATCATAGCCATAAGAATCTGATGACGATCCCTTAACATTCTTCCGATACCACAAATAGTCTATGACAACATACTGTTCAATGTTTGCGGCAATCATAACAAGGAATTTTAACATTTTTTTAGATAAAAGGAAACCACAATATAGGAACAAAGCATCAGAGCCCTGACCTCATATCCAGAAGAAAGCAGCCTGCTGGACACAACCTGTGCATTGTCAAGGAATGCTTCTTCATCAATAATCCAAGAAAAGGAATCATAAGAATTCCAACCTCGTGGTGGCGTAGAAAAATCTTGCCCAAACGCTTCAAACAATCTGCAGAAATGTTAATATAACCTTTTTCATTAGCTCATGAAATTATAAAAAATATGCTGCCTTTGAAGATCAAATATAGATGATTTCTTCATATTAGCAGCAGAAGCTATACCGCTGAAGCGGTTGTTGTTCCTGTAGCTAAAAATTATAAACTTGTGAAAGCTGAGACCAAATGCCACACTTTTGCAAAAAATTCAACCAAAAAAAAAACAAGAAAAGGGAAGCATGAGTTTTTTATTTCTCCTCGTAAATAGCAGTTCTCTGTATACAAATAAAGACTTCTAAGCCTAAGATTAAAACATGAATTTTTCCCGATATGGGAAGTGTATGTGAATAACAACATTTGACGGAACCACAAAATGCCGGAACTTCAAAATAAGAAGTAATAGGTTAGTAGCCGAACAGAAAAAACATTTCTTCCAATAAATACAATACATACAAATCTGAATACAAATTGTCTTGAACAAAATGCGGGTATGCAACAATCCAGCTCAATCCAAATAATTAAGGGCAAAGAAAATGAAACTAAAATGATTCACTAAACAGTTATTAAATGACACACTCTCTAGTTGCAGGCAGAAAGAGAGAGATGATAACCTGAATAGGAAGAGGGCGGAGAAAAGGAGAAACAAAACCGGTTGTTCCATGGCTGCGACGGCAATGCAAGTCCACCCAGCGAAGTCTTATTAACATCTGTCACCGTCCAAGTTGATGTGCCGTCGAGCGGGTGACACCCATCTCATCCATTTCCGAGACCTGCTTCGGATATGCCACGGAACCGTTTAAGCCTCTATACTTCCATCATTTGATGATTTTACTGGTAACGGGCGATGGCGTGGCCACATCTTAGCGTGGATAGGACCATCCTATGGTTGACTAAGTTGGGCAATCAGAAGTCGCCCATCGGCGAGCGGTTTTTCACATTGAAACCGCTCATATTTCGTGTCGCTTATGTCGTCCAAACCTAAAACCAACGGGCATCTCCTTTTTTTTGTCCTTTTTTTTTTTTTTTCTTTTGACTTCTTTCTCAGGCCAGTTGGGATTTTTTTGACTTGCAAATTATTTTCACGCCAATGGTTCATACTGTTTAATTTTAATCAAAAATTTTCTTTCATTCATATGTTGTTTATATTATAAATTAATTTGTCGTATGGAAAAAACTGGGAGATTTTTCCATTTATAATTAAAATGAATTTTATTTATGAAATTGTCATAAATCCGAAAAAAATGATGAATAAATATGAACTTTTGTTATGTTGAATTGTTAAAATTTAACAAAAAAGTAAAATCTGCGTAATAATTTTTCTTAGGAAATTTAGGGTCCCGTCCAAGCATAATTTATAATTAAATAAAAATATATAAATTGTGGGTTTGTTACAAAATAAAAATAAAAACAAACTGACCTATAAAAGAAAAGAAATCAAAACAATTAAAACAAATGACCTCACAAAAGAGAAGTGACGCACCTAAAAAATATTCTATATATATATATATATATATAAGGTTTATATTTAGTGATATTGTACTTTAAAGAAAGGTATTTTCATGTTTTATCGCAGGTATATTAAGTCTAAACATTTGGAGCTTAAAGGAAGAAAAAATGACAAAATTTGGAGTCATGCGGTAGCGTTTTCAAAAATTGAACTGGTGCCTAGGTGTCAGAACACGTTAGAATCCAGAGGAGACGTTGTCGAATCAAGTTTTTGACATCGTTGTTGGGGGAGGTTGTGGTGAATTACTTAAAAGACTTTGTTTGAGCTAGTATCTGTACCTTTCATTTTATTAATATATTCGCCTTTGGTATTATTATTATTATTATTATTATATATATATACACACACACGCGCGCGCGCTCTTGTGTGAGTGCTTATTTTTATAATTGTTAATTGTATTTGTGTACGTGAAGATTAGGATCCGAAGGATCAATACCTTACGATTCGGAATTATAACAAATTATAAGAAAAGTTCGAAAACAAAAAAAACTTAACAAAATGGCAAACAGTTAAAAAAATCAAAGTATTGAAAATGAACATAAAAATGTACAGAGACCTTTAAGAGACTATGTTAATCCTACAGTAGATAAAATTCACTTGAGTATACAAACTCCTATTGTGCTGCTAATTCATTTAAGCTTAAACGTGTTATCCAAATAGTACAACATAATCATTTCGGGAGAACACTATCTGAATATTCTAATTTACATCTTGCTAGTTTTCTAGAATTATGTGCTATATTTAAATATGACGGAGAGACAAATAACGCTATCAGACTTAGACTTTTCTCTTTTTCATTAAGGGACAAAGCTAAAATGTGGTTAAATTCTTTAGTACATGGATCTATCAGAACTTAGGAAAAATTATCTCAGAATTTTTTTACTAAATATTTTTCACCATCAAAAACTGCTAAGCTTAGAAACGATATTACATCTTTTTGTCAGTTTGAAGGGGAATCAATATATGAAGCTTGGGAACGATATAAAGATCTCCATATAAATTGTCCCCACAAAGCTTTACCAGATTGGTTAATAATTCAAACGTTTTATAATGGATTAGTGAGATCTCTTAAATCTATTATTTTCGTCATTGCTAGTGGATCATTAATGTCAAAATCTTTTAATAAAACATATTCTTTAATTGAAGAGATGACTGCTAATAATTTTCAATGCCCCTCTAAAAAGGTAAATCTAAAAAGAGTAGTAAGTGTTCATGACTCTGACGCAGTTGTTATTTTGGCTTCTCAAATTGCTGCAATATCAAAGAAGTTGGATCAGTTTGGAATGAAATTATCTCAAACACCTTTTGTGGTTGAGGAAAAATCATTAGGACAAATGATAGATTTTCAATCATCATATGAAACTTTGAACACAGTAAATAATCGACCTAATAATTTCTATTTTAATTATTATAATTCTAGTTGAAAAAATCACCCTAATTTAAGTTGGAATGATAATAATTCAAATGGTGTAAATTCACAATGGGGGAACAATCATGCGAACCCTTTTGGAAATGTACAAAATCAAGGAAATACCTGACCTTATTATCCTTCAGATTTTAATAACAATTCACAATTTAAGGAGAAGAAGTTGTCTATGAAAGAATTGGTATTACAAATGGATAATCCATTACAAAGTCAAGGAGCGACAATTAGAAACATTAAGAATCAATTATGACATATTGCTTCTGCACTTAGCGGTAGGCCTCAATGAACTCTTCTTAATAATGTTGAGCTTAATCCTAAAAACCAGAATAAAGAGCAAATTAAAGATATACAACTAAGAAGCGGAAGAGTGTGGAGACAAAAGTTCATAAAGAGATTGAAGTTGAGAAAGAAGGGGTAGAAATTGAAAATTCAGAAGAAGATATTCCTCGCGATTCAAAACCTTCTATTAAACCAATGAAAACTACTATAGAAAAATCACCAGCTCCATTTTCTCAAAGATTCAAATAACAAAATTGGATAAACAATTCTCTTGAAAATATTTAAGAAACTATCCATAAACATTCTATTTGTTGAAGCCATGGAACGAATGTTGAATTATGTAAAGTTTATGAAGGATATACTTAATAAAAAAATGAAGTTTATAAATAATGAGATAGTTGCACTTAATGAAGAATGTAGCGTTATAATTCAAAAAAAGCTTACTAAAAAACTTAAAGATCCTCATAGTTTTACCATTCCTTGTGTCATAGGCGAAAGGTTTTTTTAAGAGCTTTATGTGATTTGGGAGCCAATATTAATCTTATGCCTCTATTTATTTTTAGAAGGTTAGGCTTAGGAGAGATTTCCCCAACTTTTGTAACCCTTTAGTTAGATAATCGTTCAATCAACTATTGTGAAGGAGTTGTAGAAGATATATTGGTAAATTTTGATAAATTTATCTTTCATATAGACTTCATTGTGTTAGATACGAAGAAAGATAAAGCAATTTCAATGATTTTAAGGAGACCTTTTCTTGCAACTGGAAAAGCTAAGATAGACGTTCAAAAAGGTGAGTTAACTATGAGAGTCAATGATCGAGAATTTATATTTAATATATCAAAATCCATGACATACCCAACAAAAGGAAAAGATGATGAATGCTTTAGGAAGGAAATTAGTAATCATTTGAGTAATGATAATTTTACAAAAAGTTTTGAAGAGAAAATGGAACAAGAAAATTTGAAACATGAAGATAATGATAAAATGCATGATAAGTCCATTGAAATATGTAACGAAGATTAAATTATGTTCAGGAAAGATTTAAGCTGTTTGACACTATGAAAAATAATAAAAATTTTATTCCTTCAATTGAAGTACCTTCTGAACTCGAAATGAAAATACTTCCTGCACATTTAAAATATGTCTTTTTAAGAGATTTATCTACATTACTTGTTATAGTATCCTCAGAGTTAACTTAACTACAAAATGAAAAATTATTAGTGACTTTAAGAAAATATAAGAAAGTCTTTGGATTGACATTAGCTCATATCAAAGGAATCAGTCATTTGATTTATTGCATAGAATTTTATTAGAAAAGCATCATGAACCTAAAGTTGATCCTCAAAGGAGATTAAACCCTATAATGAAAACGTAGTTAAGAAAGAAATTTTAAAATGATTTGATGCCAAAATTATCTATCCTATCTCGGATAGTGCATGGATAAGTCCAATTCATTATTTTCCAAAAAAAAGGTGCGTGATTGTTGTTGTCAATGAGAAAGAAGAATTAATACTAATAGAACAAGTCAATGATTGACGAATCTGTATTGACTATAGAAAATTAAATTACGCCACTATGACAAATTATTTTTCTTTACCTTTTAAGGAGCAAGTATTGGATAGGCTAGCTGGGAACAAATATTTTTTTTTTGGATGGATATACTAGTTATCATCAAATTCTTATTACTCCTGAGGATTAATAAAATGCAACATTTACTAGTCCTTATGGTACTTTTTCTTTTAGACAAATGCTCTTTAATTTTTGTATTGCACTTGTAATAATTCAAAGTGGTATGATGTCTATATTTTGTGACTTAATTGAAAAAGGAACAAAAGTTTTTATGGATCACTTTTTAGTGTTCGAAACTTTGTTTTAATCATGTCTAAATCATTTAGAAAAAGTTTTAGATGATGTGAAAAAACAAATTTAGTACTAAATTGAGAGAAATTCTAATTTATGGTTGCAGAATGAATTGTACTTGGACATAATTTTTTTGAAAACGATTTAAAAGTAGATTCAACAAAAATTCAAGTTATAGCTAAACTACCTCCTCTTACTATAGTGAGAGGGGTTATAAGCTTTTTAAGACATGCTAGTTTTTAAATGCGATATATTAAAAAATTTTCAAAAATTACTAAGCCCCTATGCCTACTATTAGAAAAAAATTGAAAAAGTTAATTTTAACCAAGAAAGCATTAATGCCTTTGAATTATTAAAGGAAAAGTTAATTACTACTCTTATAATAGTTTCATCTAATTGGGAGAAAACATTTGAGCTAATGTGAGATGTTAGTGATAATGCAATTGGAACAGTTTTAGAGCAAAGATATGATAAAATTTTTATAAGTTATATATAATGCAAGTAAAACTCTGAACGAAGCTCAAATTAATTATATCACTACTGAAAAAGAGTTATTGATAATTGCCTACGCTTTTAATAAGTTCAGATCATATCTCATTGGAGCTAAATGTATTGTGCATACTGATGACTATATTATAAGATATTTGATGCAAAAGGACTCAAAACCAAGATTATTTAGATGGATCCTTCTGATGCAATAATTTGATTTTATGGTAGTATATAGGAAGGGGTTTAATAATCAAATAGCTGGTCATTTATGTATCTAGAACAGGAAAAATCATTTAATTTAAAAAGTGAAATTAACGAAAACTTTCCCGTTGAACAACTATGCACTATTATTGAATGGCGTGTACCATGGTATGCAAACATAGTGAACTTTATTGTTAGTGATCTTTTATTGTATGGATCGACAACACAACAAAA